TCAGAACTAGCTATTGTTAACAATCTATGTATTTGTTTCCAGTCTGGGTTTTTTTTTTTTTTTGGTAGGGAATGAAACATTAAAGGCATTGTAAAGTAAATGTAAACAGTAAAACTGACAGGCTCTTCACTACCCCCTCCTGGCTTCCATCCTCCACCCCTGCCAGTCCCCATTTTGAGTTTGAGTCCTGTGTGTACTTTTCCCTTTATAATTCCCTAAAAACACATTGAAATATGCTCCTTCATCCAGCATTCCTCTTTAACCTCACCCTGACAGGGATACCGAGGCTCGGGGGCACGTGATTGCTGGATTCTGTGCTTCTGTTTTGCCTGTTAAAGGTACAGCCAAAGCAAACAGGCCTCAGAATATCCCCAAAAGAATCAGATGACTGGAAAGAAACCTTCTGTTGGCAATGGAAACACCACCCCAGGCTGACTTAAACCCTCCTGTCCATTGTTGGGATGAGCCCTCCAGCTTCAGATGCAGCATCTTGGGGCCAGAAGAAAGTCTGCAGGTGAAACGGGTGGGGAGATGTGGCACCAGCTCTTCCAGCCCTGACTTTCTACCACATCCATGGCTGACGTTTTGCAGCACTTTACCATTTACTATGAAGTGCTTACCAGCTCTTCCAGCCACCCTGTCAGCATGGAGTCTGCCTCTGAATCACACCACTGAGCTTAGCTAGGGTGCAAGGGTGCAGAGGTTCAAACCTGCTCCAGGCCCCCTGTTTCCCCTGTGAGGATCCCGCTGTCTTCTAGTGGGGACATTGGACACTCCACCCAACACAGGTCTGTGGGTGGGGAGGCCACCTCCTTTCCAGGCAGCTGGAGATCAGGCAGGCTGCTGCTTCTTATCTCGAGGCTGCCCTTCCTGGCCTTGTAGCAGCCCTGTGTGTGCAGAGCAGGAAGTGTCTGAAGAGGTGCTAAGAGCACTTGGCACCTGCCAACTCCCACACCAGCCCTTGGCACGCATGAGAGGATATCTGCAGGGTGAGTGAGCTGAGTAGTGTGTGCCTGCCTGGCTGTCCACGAAGTCCTGTCCTGTTCCGTAGCCACTCAACACACAAGTGTGAGGCCTAAAGTGCACCTTGGGCCACAGGTCAAAGTGATACTATTTGGGATATGTTGAGTTAATTAACATTGGCACATGACTATTAACTAATTTCACCTGTTCCTTTTCTTTAATGTGGCTTTTTTATTTATTTTATTAAGCTATTGATATACAATCTTATCAAGTTTTCACAGCAACATTGTGGTTACTACATTCACCCTTATTATCAAGTCCCCCGCCACATACCCCATTATAGTCACTGTCCATCAGTGTTGTAAGATGCTACTGAGTCACTACTTGTCTTTGTGCTACACTTCCTTCCCCGTGTGCCCCCTATATTATGTGTGCTAATCATAATGCCCCTTAATCCCCTTCTCCCTCCCTTCCTGCATGCTCTCCCCATCCCCTTTCCCTTTGGCAACCCCTAGTCCCTTCTTGGAGTCTGTGAGTCTGCTGCTGTTTTGTTCCTTCAGTTTTCTTTTGTTCTTATACTCCACATATGAGTGAAATCATTTGGCACTTGTCTTTCTCTGCCTGGATTATTTCACTGAGCATAATACCGTGTAGCTCCATCCATGTTGTTGCAAATGGTAGGATTTGTTTTCTTCTTATGGCTGAATAATATTCCATTGTGTATATGTACCACCTCTTCTTTATCCATTCATCTACTGATGGACACTTCTGTTGCTTCCATGCCTTGGCTATTGCAAATAGTGCTGTTATAAACATAGGGGTGCATATGTCTTTTTGAATATGGGATCTTATTTTCTATGGGTAAATTCCTAGGAGTGGAATTCTTGGGTCAAATGGTATAACATGGCTTTTTAATATGGACTTACAAAAAATAGGGATGAGTTGACCGAGCACAGAGGATTTTAGGATAGTGAAGCTGCTCTGTGACAGGGTAATGATGGCTACATACATGTCATCAGATGTTGTCCATACCCATGTATACAGCCCCAGGGGTGAGCCTCAGTAACCTGTGGACTCTGGGTGGTAACGATGTGTCAGTGAGGCTTCTCAGTTGTAACAGGTGCACCACCCAGGTGGGAATGTAAAGGGAGAGGCGGTATGTATGGGAAGAGAGAGGGTGTATGGGAATTCTCTGTACTTTCCACTCAATTTTGCTAAATTTGTGAACCTAAAACTGATTGAAAAAATCAAGCCTATTAAATTAATTTTACCTGTTACATTTTGTTTCATAATGCAGTTAGAAATTTTTAAATGTGAATCACTGGATATTTCTGTTGGACAGGGCTGCTAAGGGCCTATATCTGTGCTTTACATAGCCCTATAAGATAGTAGGCCTGACACAATGTGGGTGTTCCCAGCCATTCTCCGCAGGCTGCCAGGGCCTCTCAGCAGCCAGTGGAAGTGCTGGGGAACGTGGGAGGGAGAATTTCAGGCCTCCCCAACTTGACCTAGTGTAGCACTGTTCTTATCTGTACTGATTTATTTATTGGGACTCTGTTTCAGATTAGTTTACTTCTGTCAGATAATGAGTAAAGATGTTCTCTCCATTTTCTTCTTGGGGAAACTGAGGTTCAGAGAGGGGGGTGGGATTTTCAGCCCAGATCTCTGGCTACGAGGCACCATGGAACAAGGTGTTTCTCACACTGTTTCTCAAAGCTAGGAGCAAGAAATGATGAATTATCTTTTTACAGAATAGACTTTTTGTTTAGAGCAGTTTTAGGCTCACTACAACACTGAGCTGAAATCACAGAGATTTCCCATATAGTCACCCTCAGGCTCCCCCACCGTCAATGTCCACACAGGAACAGTATGTGTGTTACAGTTAACCTGACACATCACCAAGGCTCATAGTGTGTGGTAGGGTTTGTACTTGGCATTGTACATGCTGTGGGTTTGGACTAACATACACGACTTGTTTTATCATTGAGGTATCACACAGAATAGTTCACTGCCCTGAAAGTCCTCTGTGCTCTGCCTATTCATCCATTCTCCCCCACGCCCTGTCTTTCTTTTTTAAATTTTACATTTCAGACTAATTTTAGATTTGCAGGGAAGTTGCAAAGATGATACAGAGTTTCCTCTACTCACCCTTCAGCCAGCTTCCCCTCAAGTTAACTTCTTGCAAAAGCCAGGAGCGTTTATCAAAATGAAGAAATTACCCTTGGTGCCTGACTATTCACTAAACACTAGACTATTTGGATTTCATCCATTTTTCCACTCAGGTTCCTTTTCTGTTTCTGGATCCAGTCCAAAATCCCACATTGCATTTACTTGCCTCTCCTCCTCTGTTTCCTCTGACCTGTGCGAGTTGTCTAATTTGTTCTTTCCTTTCCAGTCAGGTCTGTGTGTGGGTATGTGCATGCGGGTGTGTGTGTGTGTGGGCAGTTTCACCTCCTTTGGAAATGAGCTGAGTGTTCCACAGCTGCTACCAGTCAAATGGAGCAGTTCTAGCAGGGGCGAGGCATGTGCCACAGGCTCCTTTGCCCTTCTTGACTGGGTGTGTGTGCCTGTTCATGTTATTGTCTTCCCATGGTCTCCAAAATGCTCTTTTCTCGGAACTCTATGAGAAGCCCACAGTGCATTACCTAAGGGGCTTCCATTTCTTGCCTTCACTGTGGGTGAGGTTTGCCTCCCGAGTACTTTCAAAAGACATGTTGATCCACCTCCAGGTGCCCTGCCGGCAGCTCAGCCTGTGCCTGTGATGTTCAGGTGATCCAAGCATCCTCAGGTGTGTTTGGAGACGCCGTGTGCTTACCTGGCCCTGGGAGAGGCACTTGCCATCAGCCCAGAGACTTGCAGATGTCTGGGTGTGTTTCACACCATCATGTTTTAACACCAGGCATTTTTAAAATTTCCTTCTGAATATCCCAGAACCTTGATGTTCCAGTGAGTTCAGGCAAAGGGCCTGGAAGGAAGTGATGGCTCAGGTGCCTGCCTGGTGCCAAGTGCGGCCTTTGGGGTAGAGTGGATGCTCTGCCTGGTGGGTGCCCCTTCCCCGGGCTCTGGATCACACTTAGCTCACTGAGGATACCACCTTGTTCTCTGTTTTGTGAAATGTGAATTGCATTCGGATGTTCACCTGCTTCAGATACCCTGGTGGCCTGTCTGCTTTCAGAATAAGTCTGAGCTCCTTTACTCCAGCCTCCAGTGCCTCTCCACCCTCAGCACCTGCCGTCTCCTTGAGTCCCAGGGCTCACATTGTCCTGGCTTTTCTGTTCATGGGGCACGCCTGGCAGCTTCTCACCTCAGGACTGTGCCTGAAACGGCACATCTTGGCATGGTGTTCACTGAGGGGCAGCCCCCAGAGAGGCTTCCCTGAGCACTTGGTCTGCAGGTAACTGTAATGGCACACACTGCCCTGGCGCTCTCTGCATGGTATCTGCTCTGCTCATACCACTTGTTCCCCTCCCACCTCAACGGGAACAGTTGATAACCTGTGTCATAGATGGAAACCATGGCACTGGCCCTGGATCTCTCCCCAGTCACGCTGTTATTCTTGAGGCCCTTCTCCCCGCGGGAAGTCATCTTGCAGATTTTAATGGGTTCATTTGTGTGCTAGCCTGCCTCTCCCCACCTTCGCCATAAGGTCAATTTTCTGCACACTGAGACTTTATGATTGTTGTTATCATTCCAGTTGGTGTTCTGCATGTTTTTAGACCCTGTTTGGAGATAGAAACTAATGTCTAGGGGCCTGCGGTGTGCCAGGCCCGGCCTAGAGGTCAGCAGAGTTAAAAGGCATTTCCTCCTCACCAGACGCATAGGCAGCTTTCTCACAGATAAAGACTGATTTCCAGTTCTGTAGAATGGCCTTGTAAATTTCTCCTCTGGGTTTGGTGGGAACTGCCCATCTCTAGTCTGGTGGGAACTGTCTGAGTCTGGGACTGATCTCCAGACAGGGAACTGCAGCTTTGGCTTCTGGTCTCATGCTTCTCCAAGTAACTAACTGCACAGAGTAAATTCTCGTCTTCCTGCCACAGGTCATCGACCCGGCCGGAGGTGGCCAGTATAGAGCCGCTGGGCCCGAGCGAGCAGCAGTGCTCCCGGCAGGCAGTGGTGCAGGCCCGCCTGTCCCAGCCCGCCCGCCTGACCAGCATCATCTTTGCAGAGGACATCAGTAAGAGCTTCGGGTGCCCCTGTGCCCCTGGCCGGGACGGGAGATGAGAAGCGCCCTCTTGAGACCTGTCCATAGAGCCTGCTGGGGCCTATGGCAGCTCTTTCCTCTCTCTTGGTGGGTGGGAGGATGCCCAGCGGGGGTGGGCGCCGAGCAGGCAGCACCCACCCCAGTCCCTCCTGTCAGCACTTGGTGCTGTCTTCCTTCTTGTGGAGGCTGGCTTTCATTTCGAAGCTATTTTTAACAGGTGTCAATTCAAAATGAGGAAAGCTGTTGTAACTCTTTCACTTCCCCATATTTGATTTATCACATTATGGTTGTAACATGCTGAGAAACAATTAATACGATTTTCTGTCATGCTTTCCCTCCACCTAACCTGATAAGAAAAAGTCTCTATTTCATCATGGAATTATTTTTAATGGCTGAATAATATTCTGAGCAGGAGGTTGTGCTATAAGCATTCCCTTGTATTGGACGTTTACATTGATTTTAGGTATTTGTTTCAATGTTGGGTAGAAACAAATAGTTTTATACAGAGAACAGTTTTGGGGTCTTCTAAGTTATGAGGTTATTTTTTGCCAAGGATAGATCCCCAGTCTCACCAGGTCTCAGCACATGAGATAAATTGGGCATACTGCTTTCTAACAAACCAGCACTAACAGTGTACAAGCAGTTTTACATGGTAACTGGAGGATGGTCAGGATGGTTTTGTGTCACATGCTCTTATTTATACACTAGAAAATTCTCCAGGTAATGCCATTTATGCATTTTATTTATGAAACAAGTGAAAAAAATCTGTGCACTGGTGCACACGAGTCTTTTATTCTATAGCACGGTTGGTAGTCTCATGTAAAGATGCCAGAATAAACACACACACTCTAGGTGTAATACCTGATCTCATGCAGAACAGTATTACTTTTGGATGCTAACTCGTTAGACCACAGCCTTTGTCATTTCACTTAATGGCTACATCCTGAATGAAACTAGAATTGCCTAGAGGAGTTTTTGCACACAGCTTTAAATGCTTGTACTCATGTTGGAAAAATACAAGCTGGGCAATGAAAATGCCTCCGATGCCCTTACTTGCTGCAGTCCATGCTGACTTCCAGAAGGGCTGTGTGCTTCAGTGGCTTGGCCTCTGAGGGCTAATTCAGCTCTTACAGCCTGTGTGGTGTAGTGGTTTTGTTGTTTGCTCTAGTCTTTGCCAAAGTATGAGACCACCTGGGTGGCCCTGAAGTGGGGATGGCGGTTGGGCGCCACCATCTGTGCTGACCCCTCCATTCCTATCCCTCCAGCCACGGGCCAGGTCCTGCGCTGCGATGCCATCGTCGACCTCATCCATGGCATTCAGATTGTCTCCACTACCCGTGAACTCTACCTGGAGGACTCACCCCTGGAACTGAAGATCCAGGCCCTGGACTCTGAAGGTGAGCATGTTCCCCTGGCAGTCTCTGTTGTTCTCTCCCCTCTGGTGTCTGGCCCTGCTGTTCTGCCTGGAGGGCTGCTCCAGCCAGGAAGGTGAAGGTGGTGTGGGGCAAGACCGCCTCAGAGGTGGAGCCTGGGCCCTTGGTAGCAGCACAACTACGGGCCTAGGCCAGGGGCTGTGCTCCCAGGAGCCTGTGTTTGGGAAACTGATACCTGGTGTCTCAGCGGTCATGAGAAGCCAGGAGAGGCTCGCTGGGTCGCTGTGCTGTGCTGTAAATGGGGGTGCATTCTGCTCGGCTTTGAGGGTTTGTGTTCTGACTGCAGAGCGTGTGTGTGTGTGTGTGTGTGTGTGTGTGTGAACGTGTATGTGTGTGTACAGCAGGCCGGGGCACATCTGTGCTGTTGGCCCTGTCTACCATCCTTTATTTCTTCACTTCACCTGCTCATTGTGAGCTGGGATTGGACCTGCTCTGGTTGGAGGCAGACTGTCTTGGCTGTAGCCTCACCTCTTGGAACAAAGGGAAAATTTGGAGGTTAAGGTTCTTGCTGAAGAAAGAAAGATGAGTCTGTGTTCTAATGAAATACAAAAATAGGCAAAATAATGTCTTTCAGACAAAGGATCTTGCAAAACTTCAAGTCCAAACCAAGTCTCACCTTGTCTTAGAAATCTTTCCTGACCACTGTAGCATCCCTCGCTTTTTAAAAACATTTTTCTGCATCAGGGTTTCTCAGGTATTTGAGGCCAGGTAATTGTGGTAGAAGTCTGCCCAGTACATCATAGGATCTTTAGCAACATCCCTGGCCTCTACCCACCGGACGCCAGTGGGACTCCCCCAGTTGTGACAACCGCACTTGTCTCCAGCCATCGCCAGATGTCCCTCGGGAGCAAAATCACTGTTCGGGAGCACCTGTCAGATCCTTCCTCCCTCTCTGTATTCATTCATCAGATAAGCTGCCTGCCTTCTCTGAACTGTTTTCTGATCTGTGAGACTGAGCTAGTGATACTCACCGTGGGATTGTAAGGATCTGGTGAGAAGAATGTGAGGGGCTTGGTGCTGCGTGGTGCATAGTGGGTGCTCAGGAAGCCAGGTAGTGTTGGAGTGCTTTCTACCTCCTGGGCATTCTGCCAGGTCCTGGGGTGCCCCAGGGTGAGGGAAGGGTTTGGCCCTCTGCCTCCAGTGTCTCAGGCTGTTGGGGAGGGCCATGTGGCAGTAAATGCCCGCAGGCATCTCAATAGGTGCTGTTTGTGATCACACTGGATGCAAGTGCCCCGAGCTGGGGAGCCAGCCCCAGGGAAGGGTGAAGTGGGGTCTGGAGAAAGAAGGTCAGGACAGTTTCATGGACCGACAATACGATGTTTGAGCTTTGAGAAATGGGGTGTTTGCCTATTTTATTCTGGAGGAGACTAAAATGTGGAGAGGGGTGGGATACAAGATGCAAAGGGTCGTGTGTGTCAGAGGTTGGATTTGCACTTGGTCTTCAAACAGAGGGAGCCGAGGACCTGGTTCATGCAATGGGATGATGGGAGCTGGTCTTCAGGACCCTGGGAGGATCACCCACTGTTCTTGGGAGCAAAAGACCAAAGTTTGAGGCCACACTGGTGTCAGGCACTCCTCTGAGCACCTACATGTTCTAATTCCTTTCATGTCCAGGTGGTGAGACTGAGGCACACTGTGTGAATACACGTGTATGTAGGAAAAGATGTGTAGTTAGTATGAAGCAGAGTCAGGATCCCAGTCCCAGCTCTGGCCGGGTGCCAGAGTTCAATCTCTTGGCCAGGGGTCAGCAAACATTTTCTGTAAAGGGCCAGATAGTAAATGTTTTAGGCTTTTCTGGCCATATGTTTCTGCTGAAGCTACTCAGCTCTGCCATTGTTGCTCTAAAGGCATCATAGATATTGTAAATGAATAGATGAGGCTGTGTTCTAATAAAATACAAAAATAGTGGTGGCATAATAAAACTTTATTTACAAAAACTAATGGTGGACTGGATTTGGCCCAGGGGCTGTAGTTGCTACCTCTGCTCTTGCCCACTCTGTTTTGTTTCCCATCTTAAGTAACTTTAAAAATATATATTTATTTTTATTGAGATTTAAGTACCATAAAATCCACTCATTTAAAGTATACAGTTCAGTGGTTTTGAATATAATCTCAAAGTTGCAGGACCAACCACCACTGTTTAATTTTAGAACATTTTTATCACTACAAAGAAGAAACCCAATGCACGTTAGTAGTCACCTCCATTCTTTTCTCTTTCCAGCCTGTTGGCAGCCACTAACCTACTTCCTATGTATATAGACTTGCCTGTTGCAGACATTTCATATAAATAGAATCATACATGTGGTCTTTTGGGACTGATTTCTTTCACTTAGCATGTTTCCTAGGTTCATCTATGCTGTTGCATGCACCTCCTTCCTTTTTATGGCTGAATAATATTCCATTGTATGGATAGGCCACATTTTGTCTATTAATCAGCTGGTGGCACCTTTTGGTTACTGTGAATAGAACTGCTATGGACAGTCATGTGCAAGGTTTTGTGTAGACATGTGTTTTCATTCCTGTTGCCAGGAGGGGGATTTCTGGGTCAGATAGTAACTGAGAAACTGCCTCATTGTTTTCCATAGCAGCTGGACCATTTTACATTCCCACCAGCAATGCATGAGGGTTCCAGTTGCTCCACATCCTCACCAACCTTTGTTACTGTCCACCTTCTTTGTTATAGTTATTCATAAGTCACTCAAATTTTTTTCCTGGGAGTGCCTCAGGCACCTGGAGATGTGGGGAGCAGGAAAGTGGCTGTTCCTGGCCTTTCTGTGCAGGACAGATGCCCAGTGCCCTTGCTAGTAACCATTCACACCCCTCCCACCCCTGTGGTTTCTGTGGCACATGTGGCCAATTCCAGAGTAGGAAGTCAGGGTTCGCCAGCTGGTCTGCATACACTGGGGTCATTCACCAGTAGCCCAGGTGAAGGCCCCACCTTTGCTCTAAGCAGGTGGCTCACTTCCATCCTCATTATTCACTGTGAGGATCTCATACTTTCTCATCAGCCTTCCCTGCCCAGAGATGCTAGACTAGCACCTTAGTTACCCCTACTTTTCTTTATCCTGAGCCTGTGTCCTCTTTCCTGGTTAGAGCCTCTTTTGTGAAGACAAACTTGACTCTTGTCACCTTTGAGGACCTTGCAGTCTCACAAGGGACATATCTTTATCTGGATCAGTGGATGTTGTCAAAAAAGACATTACTGTGGCTCAGCAAGCCCTGCTAGAGGCTCTGTGTGCGCCAGGCACTGCCCCAGGCCCTTTACAGTGTCATCTTCTACCCCATGAGGATGGATGGTATCTTATCCATTGTATATACAAGTGGAGGCCCAGAGAGGTTAAGTGACTTGCCCAAAGTCACACAGCTTATGTGTGGCAGGTAGGATCTGGAACTCAGGGTATCTGATGCTGTCACCTGATCTCATGTCCAGTAGGCCAGTTGTCCATGTCCTGCTGCTGCATTTTTCCTGGGCAGTGGGAGTCCTCTGTATGGGGCTCAGGTCCACCTTGGCCTGAGACTGTCTGCAGAGTGCCTGCCTCAGGTTAATGTTTTCATAGTTACCTCCCTGCCCACATGCACTGCTCACACATACCTTGTGCAAGACAGAACTAGGCTAGCTTAAGGTCACCAATTTGGCCCCTCCTCCCATTTCCCGATGCTGCCTGTTCTGCTCAGAGCACCTTCCACGTCCCCTCTGGGCCTCCCTTTTAGAAGCCCTGGTCCCCTCTGGGCCTCCCTTTCAGAAAGACTCTTCTCCAGGGATCTTTCCCTGGCTGCTCAAGGTGAGATTTGTTCCTCCCTAACTGAAACCCTCAGCAGTTCACTGGCCTCTGCCCTGCCTCCGGAGGGGGGCATTTTTTGCTCTGCATTGTCAAGTTCAGCACTTGGAGGGCAGAGTTGGGATCACTTCATTCTATGACACTGGGCTTTAGGCCCAGTGGGCATCTGGCAAATGTTTGCTAAGTGGCATTGCTTAATGTTTTCCTTCTGCCCTCCTGGGACCAGGACAGTGTGAATGCACCCTCTGAAGATGGACCCCTGGACTTGCCTCATAAAAAAAAATGTAGCACTTGACTGTGAGGCTTCAAGGTCAAGGGCTCTGTCTGACCCACATAGTAGGTACTAATATCTACTTTTTAAATGGAAAAGCAAACCTTTAGGCAGAAGTTTCCTGAAAGCATTTTCCCCACAAACCTGTAAATTTCTGCTAAACGTGTCTGTCTTGGGGCCTGTTTTGCACTGAGAGGTGCCATCTTCCCTCACTCTTGGAAGTCACAGTGAGTGACCTGTACTGCGACCTCCTGTGGTTCTCTTCTGTCACCCAGAAGTCATTCTCTCTTCCTGCCCACAGGGCCAGCTCCCCACAGGGCAGCAGCTCAGGAGGGTTCCAGGCTTGGTTCAACACTCACTGCTGCCTTGAACTTTTTAATAAATTTATCTTTGAACTTGTGTTTTGAGAGTGGAGTCTGATGGGACTATAGTGCATGTGCCAGGGGCTTGGAGGCATTAACTCAAAATACAGCCTCCCGGCCACTTCCCTGCCCCCTGCGGTGTATTTTTGGCTTCCTGCTTCCTGTACCCTGGTGTCCTGGGTCCTACGTGGCCTCTTCCCTCCCTGTCCTTGCCCTATGACTGCTCCCACCTTCCATCCCTGGTTGGGCCTGGGTAGGGTGCATATGCCCCAGTGTATGCTGGGATGGAGCATGGTAGTGGCTGTCTCTGTCTCAGGCTGGCAGCTCCTGGACGTGTTTGGTCCAGAGACTGCATCCCAGCCAGAGTGAGCCTCTCGCCCACCCTAACCCAGCTACCTAGCACCTCCCTGCTTAAAGAGGTAAGTAAGGCTTAAACTGGCTTACTAGGGGGGTCAGCAGCTACAGGAAGGAGAGATGCCTGACCCAGTTTCCTCGGAGCCTGCTCCAGCTGGGACATGGTATGTTGGTCCAGTGGCTGGCAGGGGGAACCCAGTAGCTGGCAGGTGGCAAGCCTGTGTGTGCTCCAAATAGCAGGGCAGAGCCTCTGGGCACCTCTAAGGTTCTCACCCTGGAGGACTTCTAAACCCCAAGGGAGCCCTCCCTCAGGCCACCTCTGGGCCCAGGGGCCTCTCCGTCTCCACCAGTCTTCCCAAGTCTGACTTGCCTTCTGGCACCTTCCCCTGCCTTTTGAATGAGGGGCCCCACATTTGCACAGAGCCCTGAAAATTATGAAGCCAGTCCTGCATGTGCATTTGCTCACATTGGTAAAAGTTACAGAAGCCCAGGGACACTTCCTGCTCCTATTCGTTCACATCTGAACATGGTAGACTTGTAGGACTTGTGAGGCCGGGGGCAGCAGAGATGCTGACTAGAACTCCATGTGTAGCCACTGAAATGTAGGAAGACAGGCTTTCCTGTTGCCATGTGCTGTGTAAAGAAACCCAAGCAGGCCTTCCTCAGTGTCCTCGACCTCAGAAGGCCTTGGCCACCAGTACTGATCCCTGGGGCTGGCCAGCGTGGTCCCGGCACCTTGCCAGGGGGCACTTTCTCCATTCGATCTTCCCAACAATCCTGTGGGTTGGGACTCTCATTCCCATTTTACAGAAGAGAACAGTGGTGCTTGGAGATGACGGAAGCACTGAGAGTGGGTGTTCAGGACACCTGTGGTGTTTGGTTGGGCGTGTGCTGAGAGAGGGCCATCTGATGGGCCTTTGTGTTGGGTTTCTGTTCACGCTTTGGCGATCTGCCACGGTAACAGGACATCCATTCTTGTCCTAATTGAGCGGGTTGCAGAGTCAGCATGCTTGGCTCTGCCGCCAGGAGGCAGGAGTTTGGGCTGACTTTGCTTTGCATATCCCATTTTGGCTCAGTGTGTAGAAGAATGTTCTTATGGTCAGAGCTATTGAATGGAGGGGCTGGGCTGGGTTTGGAGGCAGTGAGCTGCTCGTCACTGGGATGTGCGAGAAAGGTGCAGACCCCTGTGAGTCAGGGATGCAGCAGGGAGCTGTTTCCTGGGATTGGGCTAGGGGGCTTGTGAGTCTCCTGCAGCCAACCTGCTTCTCTGGTGTGGATTTTACCATCTGTCTTCTTACCTAATGCCCAGATGTTGGAAAGACAGATTACTTTGGTCAAAATGCTTTGAGGTTTAAGAAACCACACATCTTTTGTTTGCTCAAAATCATTTACTAAGCACCTACTATGTGTGTCAGGCTCTGCCGAGGTACCACTGAAGGTACAGAGATAAGTGGGACAGTCCTGTCCTGCTGAGTCACCAGTGACTGACAGCATCCAAGCAGCTGAGCACACTGTGCAGTGTGCATGCCACACATGGGCATCAAGGGCACAGGCAGCCTGCCTGCCAGGCTGGGGTGCTCATGGGTGCAGTTTTGGGTGGGCACAGGGTCCCTGTGGCTGCCTCCCCCAGTTCCCATCTTGTCCTGTCCCACCTTTGCACACTATGTGTTGTTCACTGTCCACCGAAGGGGGAACTGGGTGAGTTCTCTCGGCAGCCTGGTATCTGGGGTCCTCCCTTGGACATCTGAGAAGAAAATCTCTCTGCCTGTATCCATAGTAGATGGGGTTTGTCTCCCCTGCCTCTGATTAGTTGCCCAGCTCAATGGAAAGACATCTAGGAAATTGTACGGGGTGGCCCTCCCTGTGATAGATGTCCAAAAGACTGATGGCAAACAGAGTCTGGTTTTCTAGAGCTTTTGCCAAGTGCCGGTTCATTTGGTTTCTGAGATCTCACGGGTGGGGTGGGGCAGGGCAGGATCCCAGGCCCGTCTGCTTCTAGGTGCCTTGGCCTTTGTGCTGTAGAAAGAGCTTTTCTGTGCCCCAGATGCTATTTCAGGGCCTGGCCAGGCAGGGAATGTAGATGATGAATGTGGCATGGCTGTGGGACAGCAGGGTATGTTGAGGAGTGTGGCAAACCGAAGATTGTGATCCTTCCCAGTGAGGCTGAGCCAGCTGCTGGTCCCCAGAGTGAATAGGGCCCAAGCAGTGGGATCTTCCTATTTTTCAAGAAAATTTGGAAGTTGGATTTATATGTTGAGTTTCTTAATTTGAAACAATGGGAATTAAAGAATGTAAAAACAACATCGCCAGGGTAAAGTACAAACCCCACAGTTCCCAGCAGATGAGGCCTTTCAGCCACTGGTTTTCATCTCCTGCCGTGCTCCAGGATGTCCACCTGGAACCAGGCCTTGTGCTTATGCTCAAGGTGTTTATGGAGGGTTTGAGACCCACTCCCATTCCTCCAGGAGTCATTACCCACTCACCCCTCGGGCTCGGCTTGTTCGGACATCCTGTCACAAGGCACATGGACGGCAAGCCAGGACTGGGAGCCAAGGCTACTGTGTGTGGCTTCCCATTTCTTCCACCCTGGGACCTCAGGAGTCTTAAGTGTCAAGGTGAAGAGATAGAATGGTTGTGTGAAACCAGATGGTCGGAGGTTCTGCCCCCTCATCCCACAGCTTCTTTCCCTGCCTAGGGAGATGATAAGGAGGAATGAATGTCTGAGGTCTAGGAGTGGCCGCCTAAACTGTAAAGTGCTTACAGACGTGCAGGGTGATGGTATTAGACACTACACCGAGCCCGTTGTGAGCAGTCAGAGGCAGGAAGTACAGCAGGAAGAACATAGGTGTTCACCTAGGACAGGCCTGCATTCACATGCCTGCTGAGCCCCTAACAGTCACATGACCTGGATCCTTGAAGCCTCAGTTTCCCCTTTCCAAAATGCAGGCATGTCTTCTGCTTTGCAGGGGGTTGGTGTGGAGTGCATTTCCTCTTCCCTTGGCCTCATGGGTTAACTCCAGTGCATTTCTGCCTCTCCCACTGGCTCTTACAGGAAACACGTTCAGCACCCTGGCTGGGCTGGTCTTTGACTGGACGATCGTGAAGGACACAGAGGCCAACGGGTTCTCAGACTCCCACAACGCACTCCGGTAAGAGCGCCTCACCTTTGAAGGGCAGTGGGAAGGGGGTTGTCGCTCGGCTGTGTGCGGGTGGGGGCTTTCATCGTCACTGTCATTGAGGAGCTCAGGATGGTCCCCAGGGTGTGTTCTGTGGGAAATGGTCAGGGAGGCTGGGTGTCTGACTGCATCAGAGGAAGCTCATCCCAGATGACAGAAGCTGTCATGGGGTGCAGGGGAAGGGTTGTGTGTGTGGCCCCAGTGGGCAGTCCCCCACATTGGGGGTGAGTTAAAGGGGAGACAGGTTTTGGGACAGCGCTTCACAAGTGCGAGGCTGTATTCCTCACACGGAGGGTGCAGACGGACTCCTTGTAAGAGGGGCTTGTACACATCTTGATTCATACAATCCTCCCAGCAGCCACGCATGCTTATGTATCACTATTTTTTCCATTTTTCTGAGAAACAGAATTTAAGCTACTTGTCTCAGGTTGGTAAGTGGCAGAGCTAGAATTTGAACAGACCTGTACAGATCTTCACTATCCAGTATCAGCCACTGACTGTTCTAGTTATTAAAATGTAAATACAAGTTCATTTCCTCAGATACACTAGCTACACTTCAGGTGCTCCTTAGCCTTGTGGTTGGTTAGTGGTCACTCCATATGGGACAGAGCTGATGTGGATCATATGCAGCGTTGCAGGAAGTTCTGTTGGCCAGTGCTGGTGCAGACCCAGGGTTGGGTTTATATTCCCTGCCATACTGCATTGCCTCATGTTTTAGGAAATGAAAACGTGAAGTCCCTTTTGAGGGAGGAGGACATGATTTAAAAAATTTTCTCACAATAATTTTCAGCCTCCCAGAAAAGTTGCATGTATGGCACAAAAAAGGTTTCCCCAAACCATTTAAGAGCAAGTTGCCAACCTGATGCCCCATCAGTGCACAGTTATTTTAATGTGCACTTTCTACCATTACTGCATATCCACAATACAGCCATCAAAATTAGGAGATCAACACTGATGCCTACAGTCATCAGACCTCATTCAGATTTTGTCAACTTATCCTGATTATGTCCTTTGTAGCAAAAAACCCAGCCCAGAGTCACCCACTGCATGCTGTCATGTCTCTCTGAGTCTCCATCATCCAGAGATACTTCCTTGGTCTTCCTTTGACTTTTGGGACCTTGACACTCATGAAGACGATGGTCCAGTTGTTTTGTAGAATGCCCTCATTTTGGGTTTATCTGTTTCCTCCTGATCAGAGGTAGAGCTTTGTATCTTTGGCAGGCCTATCACAGAGGTGAGATTCTTACTCTTGCAGTTGTATCTTGTCATGGTCCATTGGTCCATTACTGATCATGTTCACTGCCACCACTTGGGTAAGATGGTGTCGCCAGGGCATCCCACTGTCACTTTCAAAACTCCCTTGCAGTTACTAAGTATTTTTTGGGGAGTTAAGAGTTTGGTCTTTTATTTACACCTTTAGAAGTCCAGTTTGGAGCTCTAGGAAACATCTGGGCTCAGCTCACGGCCGTCTACACCCAGACGTCCTCATGGCCTGAATCTGGGTGAGCTGGATCCCCCTCCTGGGTCACAGCTCTTCTCAGGTCTGGGGCCATCAGCTTTTGTTTCCTAAATGAGGTCTGGGATTTCTGGTGTCTCCTAAAGCAGGAACATGGGCTTTACAGTCAGAGAGGCCTGTCTTGTCCTTGTCACTTCCTGCTGTGGCCTTAGTCGGGGGACCAAACCCCCAGCATCAGCTTCCTCATCTATTAAACGCAGGTGCTCACTGTGCCCGCCTCTGAGGACAGCCACGTGGGTCAGCTCATGGACTGGTGCCCAGAGCCCTTTCTGGGCCTGGTGCACCCTAGGTATTCAGGGAACGCTGGTTCCCTGTGCCTTTCTGCACCACTAGGCCCATTTCCTGCCATGACAGCCCCCTGAGCTTCCAAGCTCTTGGCACGTGAACCAAATGGTAACTGAAATCCAAGGCACTAAGACATGTTAGAATCAAAATGTTCTGGATATTCATTAAATTCAGCATGTGACACCTAGTAAAGTGGGGAAAGGAAATAAATTGGCATAGTGCCCTTATGGAATGAAAACATGTCCGATAGACTGCTCTTGTTCAGGCATAAAGGTTGGGCTTATTTGTAAATCATACACTGCAAGTAGGAAACTACCAGAAGGGTGCCTCAAGCCAGCCCTGTTAGCAGCCCACACCCACACCCTGGGGGTCTCTCCTCACAGCATAAGCCCAGGGAGGATAGGATGAGATGTGGTCCCCTAGGCCTGCTATCTCAGGGGCCATTACAGGCTGCAGCTAGCCCAGAGGGGTGGGCTGGAATGAGGCAGGTAGCCCTGGGGAGCCTGGTGGGCCTTGCTGACACCGCCTTGGCTGGGTTTCTAGGCCTAGGCCTGCTTCTTAATTTCCATGGGCCTGACCTTTCACATCTGTGAGGCTGAAGCACTGTGACTAAGCAGGTGGTCCTCAAATTTCAGTGTTTATCACACATGTAGGTTTTGATAAAATGCAGATTGCCAGGCTTCATACAGACAAGAGCCCGAGAATCTGCATTTTTTTATAGGGAACCAGATGGTTCTGATGGAGGACATTGCAGGGACACATTTCTAAGCAGCATGGAGCAGGGCGGTACTGGGCAACGGCTAGAGGTGCCGATAGACAGCGAATATATTAGGTTCGTTGCTTCCACACATCAGGTCTGATGACATGTTCCCTTTCCAGAATCCTCACGTTCTTGGAGTCTACATACATACCTCCTTCCTACATCTCAGAGATGGAGAAGGTGGCCAAGCAGGGGGACACCATCTTGGTGTCTGGAATGAAGACGGGGAGCTCCAAACTCAAGGCACGCATCCAAGAGGCTGTGTACAAGGTGGGCCCTGGGGTGGCACTGGGTTGGCTGCTATGCATGCTCACATGGAGATGCATAAGTGAGGTTCCCTACAGCGGGAGGTGCACGGGTCATGGAGCGGGAACCTCAGGGTGTGATTCCGTATTTGTGTTTGTTTGGTTTGGATTTTTTGAGCCACAGCACAGAGAGGTAGTTTGGACCCAGGGGGCATCAACTCTGGAGTCACAAGCATTAGCTCAATTCTGTTTCAGGGGGAGGTACAGGAACAGGGGGATTGCCATTAATCACCTTCTTTTCTTTTTTAAAAAAAATGTTTTGAAATTTCTATTTGTTTAATTTTATTTAATTGGTATATAATTGACATAATATTATAATAGTTTCAGGTGTACAACATAGTGATTCAGCATTCATATACATTACAAAATGCTCCCCACGGTAAGTGTGGTTGCCACCTGTCACCTCACCAAGGTGTTACAATAGTGCTCACTGTTCCCTGCACTGTACCTTTCATCCCTGTGACCTACTTATTTTATAGCTGGAAGTTTATACCTCTTGCTAACTAGCTTATTTTCAACAAGCACCACTCCCACCCCCCATTCCCAGTATAGGGATGCACCCAAGCCTTTGGGGCTCTGTGAGCAAACTGGAGGCTCCAGGGGTCCTCCATGCCCTCCTTCCTGTGTCCCACTGTGAGCCCTGAGACTGGAGGTCCTGTGGAGAGCTAGGGCTCCTCGCCCCACCTCGTGTCATGTGGACCTCACATCAGCACCCTGTTCTGAAGGGGGTGGAACAGAGGAAACAAGAGCCAGGAGTAGGTCTTGCCAAGGGCCTGGTTCTTTCCATGAATACTGCCCTGCCCATGCATCCTTTTGAAGGTGCAAACCTGAGATCTTGGTGTGTAGGCAGGAAGGCTGTGGTACTTCATCTGCCATTTAATTTCTAGTGACGGATGAGAGAACTCTCCCTATGACTGTCCTCATTGGGTCAGCTGTTGGCTGGGAAGTTGTGGAGGGTTTCAGAAACGTGAGACATGCCCTGTCACAGGCTGGCCCCACAGCTCTCTGCAGTTAGTGCTCAGAGACAATATTCCTTTTCTTATTCTGGGCCCAGGCTGGGCTGGGGGCTGGGCCCCCTTGGGCTGGGAAGGCACCCTTGTTCTGCCTGCTCCCCTGCCTGCCTTGCCGGAGAGCACCCACCACAGAGCCCAGCCCAAAGTTGGCACTTTGTATGTTTTTTTCTTTTTTAATGAATAAAAAATGTTATTTAACTTATTGTTAGGTGAGGGAACCAGTATGATGTTATGACTGGTTCAAGGGTTACAGAAGAGAACAGTGGTGCTTGGAGATGACGGAAGCACTGAGAGTGGGTGTTCAGGACACCTGTGGTGTTTGGTTGGGCGTGTGCTGAGAGAGGGCCATCTGATGGGCCTTTGTGTTGGGTTTCTGTTCACGCTTTGGCGATCTGCCACGGTAACAGGACATCCATTCTTGTCCTAATTGAGCGGGTTGCAGAGTCAGCATGCTTGGCTCTGCCGCCAGGAGGCAGGAGTTTGGGCTGACTTTGCTTTGCATATCCCATTTTGGCTCAGTGTGTAGAAGAATGTTCTTATGGTCAGAGCTATTGAATGGAGGGGCTGGGCTGGGTTTGGAGGCAGTGAGCTGCTCGTCACTGGGATGTGCGAGAAAGGTGCAGACCCCCGTGAGTCAGGGATGCAGCAGGGAGCTGTTTCCTGGGATTGGGCTAGGGGGCTTGTGAGTCTCCTGCAGCCAACCTGCTTCTCTGGTGTGGATTTTACCATCTGTCTTCTTACCTAATGCCCAGATGTTGGAAAGACAGATTACTTTGGTCAAAATGCTTTGAGGTTTAAGAAACCACACATCTTTTGTTTGCTCAAAATCATTTACTAAGCACCTACTATGTGTGTCAGGCTCTGCCGAGGTACCACTGAAGGTACAGAGATAAGTGGGACAGTCCTGTCCTGCTGAGTCACCAGTGACTGACAGCATCCAAGCAGCTGAGCACACTGTGCAGTGTGCATGCCACACATGGGCATCAAGGGCACAGGCAGCCTGCCTGCCAGGCTGGGGTGCTCATGGGTGCAGTTTTGGGTGGGCACAGGGTCCCTGTGGCTGCCTCCCCCAGTTCCCATCTTGTCCTGTCCCACCTTTGCACACTATGTGTTGTTCACTGTCCACCGAAGGGGGAACTGGGTGAGTTCTCTCGGCAGCCTGGTATCTGGGGTCCTCCCTTGGACATCTGAGAAGAAAATCTCTCTGCCTGTATCCATAGTAGATGGGGTTTGTCTCCCCTGCCTCTGATTAGTTGCCCAGCTCAATGGAAAGACATCTAGGAAATTGTACGGGGTGGCCCTCCCTGTGATAGATGTCCAAAAGACTGATGGCAAACAGAGTCTGGTTTTCTAGAGCTTTTGCCAAGTGCCGGTTCATTTGGTTTCTGAGATCTCACGGGTGGGGTGGGGCAGGGCAGGATCCCAGGCCCGTCTGCTTCTAGGTGCCTTGGCCTTTGTGCTGTAGAAAGAGCTTTTCTGTGCCCCAGATGCTATTTCAGGGCCTGGCCAGGCAGGGAATGTAGATGATGAATGTGGCATGGCTGTGGGACAGCAGGGTATGTTGAGGAGTGTGGCAAACCGAAGATTGTGATCCTTCCCAGTGAGGCTGAGCCAGCTGCTGGTCCCCAGAGTGAATAGGGCCCAAGCAGTGGGATCTTCCTATTTTTCAAGAAAATTTGGAAGTTGGATTTATATGTTGAGTTTCTTAATTTGAAACAATGGGAATTAAAGAATGTAAAAACAACATCGCCAGGGTAAAGTACAAACCCCACAGTTCCCAGCAGATGAGGCCTTTCAGCCACTGGTTTTCATCTCCTGCCGTGCTCCAGGATGTCCACCTGGAACCAGGCCTTGTGCTTATGCTCAAGGTGTTTATGGAGGGTTTGAGACCCACTCCCATTCCTCCAGGAGTCATTACCCACTCACCCCTCGGACTCGGCTTGTTCGGACATCCTGTCACAAGGCACATGGACGGCAAGCCAGGACTGGGAGCCAAGGCTACTGTGTGTGGCTTCCCATTTCTTCCACCCTGGGACCTCAGGAGTCTTAAGTGTCAAGGTGAAGAGATAGAATGGTTGTGTGAAACCAGATGGTCGGAGGTTCTGCCCCCTCATCCCACAGCTTCTTTCCCTGCCTAGGGAGATGATAAGGAGGAATGAATGTCTGAGGTCTAGGAGTGGCCGCCTAAACTGTAAAGTGCTTACAGACGTGCAGGGTGATGGTATTAGACACTACACCGAGCCCGTTGTGAGCAGTCAGAGGCAGGAAGTACAGCAGGAAGAACATAGGTGTTCACCTAGGACAGGCCTGCATTCACATGCCTGCTGAGCCCCTAACAGTCACATGACCTGGATCCTTGAAGCCTCAGTTTCCCCTTTCCAAAATGCAGGCATGTCTTCTGCTTTGCAGGGGGTTGGTGTGGAGTGCATTTCCTCTTCCCTTGGCCTCATGGGTTAACTCCAGTGCATTTCTGCCTCTCCCACTGGCTCTTACAGGAAACACGTTCAGCACCCTGGCTGGGCTGGTCTTTGACTGGACGATCGTGAAGGACACAGAGGCCAACGGGTTCTCAGACTCCCACAACGCACTCCGGTAAGAGCGCCTCACCTTTGAAGGGCAGTGGGAAGGGGGTTGTCGCTCGGCTGTGTGCGGGTGGGGGCTTTCATCGTCACTGTCATTGAGGAGCTCAGGATGGTCCCCAGGGTGTGTTCTGTGGGAAATGGTCAGGGAGGCTGGGTGTCTGACTGCATCAGAGGAAGCTCATCCCAGATGACAGAAGCTGTCATGGGGTGCAGGGGAAGGGTTGTGTGTGTGGCCCCAGTGGGCAGTCCCCCACATTGGGGGTGAGTTAAAGGGGAGACAGGTTTTGGGACAGCGCTTCACAAGTGCGAGGCTGTATTCCTCACACGGAGGGTGCAGACGGACTCCTTGTAAGAGGGGCTTGTACACATCTTGATTCATACAATCCTCCCAGCAGCCACGCATGCTTATGTATCACTATTTTTTCCATTTTTCTGAGAAACAGAATTTAAGCTACTTGTCTCAGGTTGGTAAGTGGCAGAGCTAGAATTTGAACAGACCTGTACAGATCTTCACTATCCAGTATCAGCCACTGACTGTTCTAGTTATTAAAATGTAAATACAAGTTCATTTCCTCAGATACACTAGCTACACTTCAGGTGCTCCTTAGCCTTGTGGTTGGTTAGTGGTCACTCCATATGGGACAGAGCTGATGTGGATCATATGCAGCGTTGCAGGAAGTTCTGTTGGCCAGTGCTGGTGCAGACCCAGGGTTGGGTTTATATTCCCTGCCATACTGCATTGCCTCATGTTTTAGGAAATGAAAACGTGAAGTCCCTTTTGAGGGAGGAGGACATGATTTAAAAAATTTTCTCACAATAATTTTCAGCCTCCCAGAAAAGTTGCATGTATGGCACAAAAAAGGTTTCCCCAAACCATTTAAGAGCAAGTTGCCAACCTGATGCCCCATCAGTGCACAGTTATTTTAATGTGCACTTTCTACCATTACTGCATATCCACAATACAGCCATCAAAATTAGGAGATCAACACTGATGCCTACAGTCATCAGACCTCATTCAGATTTTGTCAACTTATCCTGATTATGTCCTTTGTAGCAAAAAACCCAGCCCAGAGTCACCCACTGCATGCTGTCATGTCTCTCTGAGTCTCCATCATCCAGAGATACTTCCTTGGTCTTCCTTTGACTTTTGGGACCTTGACACTCATGAAGACGATGGTCCAGTTGTTTTGTAGAATGCCCTCATTTTGGGTTTATCTGTTTCCTCCTGATCAGAGGTAGAGCTTTGTATCTTTGGCAGGCCTATCACAGAGGTGAGATTCTTACTCTTGCAGTTGTATCTTGTCATGGTCCATTGGTCCATTACTGATCATGTTCACTGCCACCACTTGGGTAAGATGGTGTCGCCAGGGCATCCCACTGTCACTTTCAAAACTCCCTTGCAGTTACTAAGTATTTTTTGGGGAGTTAAGAGTTTGGTCTTTTATTTACACCTTTAGAAGTCCAGTTTGGAGCTCTAGGAAACATCTGGGCTCAGCTCACGGCCGTCTACACCCAGACGTCCTCATGGCCTGAATCTGGGTGAGCTGGATCCCCCTCCTGGGTCACAGCTCTTCTCAGGTCTGGGGCCATCAGCTTTTGTTTCCTAAATGAGGTCTGGGATTTCTGGTGTCTCCTAAAGCAGGAACATGGGCTTTACAGTCAGAGAGGCCTGTCTTGTCCTTGTCACTTCCTGCTGTGGCCTTAGTCGGGGGACCAAACCCCCAGCATCAGCTTCCTCATCTATTAAACGCAGGTGCTCACTGTGCCCGCCTCTGAGGACAGCCACGTGGGTCAGCTCATGGACTGGTGCCCAGAGCCCTTTCTGGGCCTGGTGCACCCTAGGTATTCAGGGAACGCTGGTTCCCTGTGCCTTTCTGCACCACTAGGCCCATTTCCTGCCATGACAGCCCCCTGAGCTTCCAAGCTCTTGGCACGTGAACCAAATGGTAACTGAAATCCAAGGCACTAAGACATGTTAGAATCAAAATGTTCTGGATATTCATTAAATTCAGCATGTGACACCTAGTAAAGTGGGGAAAGGAAATAAATTGGCATAGTGCCCTTATGGAATGAAAACATGTCCGATAGACTGCTCTTGTTCAGGCATAAAGGTTGGGCTTATTTGTAAATCATACACTGCAAGTAGGAAACTACCAGAAGGGTGCCTCAAGCCAGCCCTGTTAGCAGCCCACACCCACACCCTGGGGGTCTCTCCTCACAGCATAAGCCCAGGGAGGATAGGATGAGATGTGGTCCCCTAGGCCTGCTATCTCAGGGGCCATTACAGGCTGCAGCTAGCCCAGAGGGGTGGGCTGGAATGAGGCAGGTAGCCCTGGGGAGCCTGGTGGGCCTTGCTGACACCGCCTTGGCTGGGTTTCTAGGCCTAGGCCTGCTTCTTAATTTCCATGGGCCTGACCTTTCACATCTGTGAGGCTGAAGCACTGTGACTAAGCAGGTGGTCCTCAAATTTCAGTGTTTATCACACATGTAGGTTTTGATAAAATGCAGATTGCCAGGCTTCATACAGACAAGAGCCCGAGAATCTGCATTTTTTTATAGGGAACCAGATGGTTCTGATGGAGGACATTGCAGGGACACATTTCTAAGCAGCATGGAGCAGGGCGGTACTGGGCAACGGCTAGAGGTGCCGATAGACAGCGAATATATTAGGTTCGTTGCTTCCACACATCAGGTCTGATGACATGTTCCCTTTCCAGAATCCTCACGTTCTTGGAGTCTACATACATACCTCCTTCCTACATCTCAGAGATGGAGAAGGTGGCCAAGCAGGGGGACACCATCTTGGTGTCTGGAATGAAGACGGGGAGCTCCAAACTCAAGGCACGCATCCAAGAGGCTGTGTACAAGGTGGGCCCTGGGGTGGCACTGGGTTGGCTGCTATGCATGCTCACATGGAGATGCATAAGTGAGGTTCCCTACAGCGGGAGGTGCACGGGTCATGGAGCGGGAACCTCAGGGTGTGATTCCGTATTTGTGTTTGTTTGGTTTGGATTTTTTGAGCCACAGCACAGAGAGGTAGTTTGGACCCAGGGGGCATCAACTCTGGAGTCACAAGCATTAGCTCAATTCTGTTTCAGGGGGAGGTACAGGAACAGGGGGATTGCCATTAATCACCTTCTTTTCTTTTTTAAAAAAAATGTTTTGAAATTTCTATTTGTTTAATTTTATTTAATTGGTATATAATTGACATAATATTATAATAGTTTCAGGTGTACAACATAGTGATTCAGCATTCATATACATTACAAAATGCTCCCCACGGTAAGTGTGGTTGCCACCTGTCACCTCACCAAGGTGTTACAATAGTGCTCACTGTTCCCTGCACTGTACCTTTCATCCCTGTGACCTACTTATTTTATAGCTGGAAGTTTATACCTCTTGCTAACTAGCTTATTTTCAACAAGCACCACTCCCACCCCCCATTCCCAGTATAGGGATGCACCCAAGCCTTTGGGGCTCTGTGAGCAAACTGGAGGCTCCAGGGGTCCTCCATGCCCTCCTTCCTGTGTCCCACTGTGAGCCCTGAGACTGGAGGTCCTGTGGAGAGCTAGGGCTCCTCGCCCCACCTCGTGTCATGTGGACCTCACATCAGCACCCTGTTCTGAAGGGGGTGGAACAGAGGAAACAAGAGCCAGGAGTAGGTCTTGCCAAGGGCCTGGTTCTTTCCATGAATACTGCCCTGCCCATGCATCCTTTTGAAGGTGCAAACCTGAGATCTTGGTGTGTAGGCAGGAAGGCTGTGGTACTTCATCTGCCATTTAATTTCTAGTGACGGATGAGAGAACTCTCCCTATGACTGTCCTCATTGGGTCAGCTGTTGGCTGGGAAGTTGTGGAGGGTTTCAGAAACGTGAGACATGCCCTGTCACAGGCTGGCCCCACAGCTCTCTGCAGTTAGTGCTCAGAGACAATATTCCTTTTCTTATTCTGGGCCCAGGCTGGGCTGGGGGCTGGGCCCCCTTGGGCTGGGAAGGCACCCTTGTCCTGCCTGCTCCCCTGCCTGCCTTGCCGGAGAGCACCCACCACAGAGCCCAGCCCAAAGTTGGCACTTTGTATGTTTTTTTCTTTTTTAATGAATAAAAAATGTTATTTAACTTATTGTTAGGTGAGGGAACCAGTATGATGTTATGACTGGTTCAAGGGAGAGTCCAAAGAATTTAGAAGTAGATGCAGAACTGGTCAGTGTCTGTGGGACGGTCACTGACGGCACCTCCACCAGAGAAATGCCTCAGCACTTCTGTGGATGCGAATCCCGTGTGTTGCCATCACTGTTCTCCCACCTGCAGAATTGCCGGACAGCTCAAGGGCAACGGAAGGTGCAGCCCCTATAGGATCTGGTAATCCAAGGAGTGCACTAGACCCTGTACTGTACTTGTGGTCTTCCTCCCCTTTCAGAGTCTGTCACCCCTTTTTCTGACGAGGTCACGGTGGGGGTGAGAGGTGGGCAGGAGGGGCTGAGGACCATTCCAGGTTTGCCTGCGGTTTCCTACTCTCCCTGGTTTTTGAGGCTTTTGTGGAGGAGACCCATGTCCCTGGTGGCCACAGTATCTGCGGGTATCACTCCTGGCTCTTCACTTTACTTTCTGCTCAGCTGTCATTACTGTAAGTGGAGCTAACATGTACATAATGTAAGGTGATGTGCTTGATCCGTTTGGGCCGTAACCACTGACCACACGCCTGTCGTGCACCAGGGTTCCCCTTGGGTTCTGGGGGTCTGTAGGTGTGTGGCTGTGAGCCTGCCCTGTCTTTTCCACCAGTAACTTCCTGTCCCCATGCAGACTTGCTGAAAAGTTCTGAGAAGTCCCTTTCCCTTGCCTGCACAGCTCCCCACTGCCCAACCCACCTCACTTTTTCTGCCCTCTTTGTTCTAAGAATGTACGCCCTGCAGAGGTCAGGCTGCTGATTTTGGAGAACATCCTTCTGAACCCTGCTTATGACATCTACCTGATGGTGGGGACCTCCATTCGCTACAAGGTGCAGAAGATCAGGCAAGGAAAGATTACAGGTGTGTCCTGACTCAGCTTGCTAATCGTGGCAAAAGGCTTACCTTTTTCTTATAGTGATAATATAACCTAACATAAAACTTACCATTTTAACTATTTTTAAGTGTCCAGCTCAGTGGTATTAAGTACAGTCACACTGTTGTGCAGCCATCCCCACCATCGAGTCACAGAACGCTCCTCATCTTGTAGAACTGAAAGTCTGAAATAACAAGTGTTGGCAAGGATGTGGCAGAAGGGGAGCCCATTTGGTGGGACTGCAAATATCTTGTAGAACTGAAAGTCTGAAATAACAAGTGTTGGCAAGGATGTGGCAGAAGGGGAGCCCATTTGGTGGGACTGCAAACTGGTGCAGTCACCATGGAAGACAGTGGGGAGTTTCCTCAAAAATTAAAAATAGAAATAACATTTATATCTGGGTGCTTACTCGAAGAAAAAAATACACAAAGACACATGCACCCCTCTGTTCACCACAGCATTATTTACAACAGCTAAGATAGGAAAGCAACCTGAGTGTCCATCCATAGAGGAATGGATAAAGATGTGGTACATATATACAATGGAATATTATTCAGCCATAAAAACGAATGAAATCTTGCCATTTGTGATAACTTGGATGGACCTAGAGGGTATTATGCTGAGTGAAATGAGTCAGAGAAAGACAGATACTGTATGATCTCACTTGTATGTGAAATCTAAAAAACAAAACAAATGAACAAACAAAGTAGAAATGTCAGTCAGAGAGCATGAACTGGTGGTTGCCAGAAGGGAGAGGGACGGGGAGATGGGAGAAGTAAATGACGGACATAAGAGGAACAACAAACAAAAAATCCTGGAGCTCTGTCCCACTGAACACTAACTCCCCACTTGCCCTCTCTCCAATCTCTGAAACCCCCATCCTTCTTTGTCTCTATGATTTGGTTAAGGAGGGGTAACTTAATAAGGCGATCCAAAGAGCTCACCTTAAATTAATTCAGATGCCATGGCCCAGAGGAGCAGCTCCTCCCAGCTACCCAGAAAACTGCAGGTTTGGTCACTGACCTAAGAAGTCAAGTAGTAGCGTCATATAGCATTTGTCCTTTTGTGACTGGCTTCTTTTACTTAGTACAATGTCTTCAAGATTCATGCATGTTGTAGCCTGTGTCAGCATTTGCTTCCTTTTTAAGGCTGAGTAGCTTGCCATTCCGTGGAGGGACCACAGTTTGTTTAGCCATTCATCTGTCAGTGGGCACTTGGGTTGCTTCCACCTTCTGGCCATTGTGAGTACTGCTGCTGTGAGCATGGGTGGGCAAATATCTTTCTGAGACCCTGCTTTCCCTCCTTTTGCGTGTATATCCCTCTGTTTTTAAAATGTCAGAAGCCATGAGCTTTGCCCTGGACTGGGTTTTGCCCTTGGTCTGCCCCTGACTGCTGGGCAGCCTTAGCAAGCCACCGTACCCCTTTGGGGCTCAGTTTCTCACTGGAGCTCTTCAGGCCCCTCTGCCCATGCTGTGAGGGCAGAATGAATTAATGGATGTGGATTTGTTCTAGAAATTCTAAAGCTTTGTGTACATGAGGTACACTTTGCATGGTACATGTTCTTAATGTAGCACCAATTCTCCTAAGTTTTCTTCTTCTTTTTACTGTTTTCTTCAAAGTTTACACGTTTCATAGAGCACAGGATGTCAAGAGTCTCGGGTATGAATGAGAGTCTTACACTTGGGGCCCATCCATCTGAAGTCTTTGACGTGTGCCTAGGCAGATGTCTCCCCAGGTTGGAGGGCCACTCCGCCTGTGATGCAGGGTATTGTTTAAGAAGTGTGTAGAGGCCTCAGCATCCAAGAAACTTGGGTTTTGTTCCATAGATGGGGTCCTGAAAGGCACTGCCTCAACTGAGAGCAGTGGGTCAGAGCATGTTGCCCCTCAGAGGACCACGGAAGCTGAGAACAGGCCCCTCGCCTCTGGGCCCAGTTCTCTCCAACATAGGGTGTCTGCTGGCTGGAAGGCAGCAGACTAGTGGTTCCTGAGTGTCTCTGGGTGCTGGGCTGGCTGCATCTGGCTCTTCTGCATGTTCACCTTGGAAGTGGTGAGGATTTGGTTAAGGAGGGGTAACTTAATAAGGTGATCCAAAGAGCTCACCTTAAATTAATTCAGATGCCATGGCCCAGAGGAGCAGCTCCTCCCAGCTACCCAGAAAACTGCAGGTTTGGTCACTGACCTAAGAAGTCAAAGAATTAGGGCCCATGAAGATACCCCAGGGTGGGAAATAGGCATGTCGCCTCCCTTTCATGACTGGCATAATGAGATGGAAAATTCCTCCTAAAGCCTGATGAGCCTGCTTGGCATGGGACTGGAGTGGACTACAGGCTATGCTTTGGAAGAGCTGAGCCAGCAAGGGTCCACCATGAACCAGACAAACAAATGAAAAGTCACTGTCCAGTGTTTTAGATGGATTGTTTATTTTTTTAATTGAGATGTAATTCATATCACTGGCATTTTTAACAAGTTTACTAGACAGCAAAGTCCGGAGGCATGAATTACAGCAGATACCTATCTTGCACAGCCCTGCAGAAGGCTCAACGAATTATAGGCTAGAGGACAGTTATGTGGACTAATTAAGATGCAGATCATTATAACCCCAGATTTATTCTTTGTTTTTTTTTCACTTTTTCTTCTTTAAAAATGTCATTTTTCTTCTTTACTTCTGTATTTTTATTTCCTTTATGTCTGCCTTCCTTCATCTGTTTCATGGCTTGCTTTCTTGCAAGCCCATTTATCAAGCATCTCCCGTGTGCCAGCACTCTTCTGGGTGCTGCCTATGCGGTGGTCAGCAGAGCTGCCCAGGCGCCTGCCCTTCTGGAGCACACAGCCCAGTGCAGGACAAAAACGGTCAATCCAGTGATGGTCCTGTGAACGTCTGTGCAGGCAGGGGCAGGTGAGGGAGCAGAGGAGCTCTCAGAGCAGGGTATCTCTGCTGCCTGCAGGGCAGCATTTCTAGTGGGAGCCGTGGTCTCTATCAGTCCTGCCAGTGTTTGAGTTGTGTGCAGTAATCTGTGCAGTTGACTGGCACAGTAGTCATTAGAGCAAAACGTGGGAAGGATATGCAGGCTGAAGGAACTGGTCTCTGAAGAGAATTTGAGTGATTGGAATGGAAATTACTGAAATGAAATGTGGTGAGGTTTGGAAACCCAACTGCATGGACGCATGTTTGGGCTGGGGTTCCTGTGTCAAAGGCTCCACTGTTTGAAGGAACTTGGAACCCAGCATACCTTTAGGTGGTGGCTGCCCAGAACTAATGCATGCTGAGCTGGCGTGAGCAGGGGCCGGAGTCCAGAGGCCAGGGAGTGACTCTCTGTCCTCCTGGGCTCAGACCCGGCTCCCTAGGAGTTCAGTCCCTGGGTGGAGTTGTCATCCCCAGGGATGTGTTGGTCTTCCCTGGAGCCTACATGGGCTGAGGGGTTGGGGAACTCTAACAATTAGAAGCACATCTGAATGGTCAATTAGGGTCAGGAGGGGTCATATCACATTCTTTGTGGGCCTCCTGGCCTACAGAAGGGAAGCCTGTTACCCTCTGCAGATGGTAGCAGGACTTGTCTGGGGCCTCAGGAACACACTTTCTCTGTTTGTGGACAGTGACCCTTAACATCTGCAAAGCCTCTCGTGTTTGGTGCCTCGTACAGGTGTGAGTTCTACATTACTAGGTATATTTAAGTAGCTTATTAAACAAGTCCCTCATTTTCATTGTCTTAGGGTTTTATAAATTTGGTTACACTGGTGCTGTGCAAGATCGTTTGAGAGTCACTATATTCATTTCCCAAACTGGCCTTATTTATCCGGAGAACTTTAAACAAGGGAGGAAGCTAATGCTTTTTTTGTAAAACAGCGTGGAATAATACTGCTTTATTGAGCCATGGTGTCATCTTACTATTATGGCATGTGTCCTTGATACCCTGTGGCCATCTCCTGAACACTGGGGGCATTGTCTGCAAGAACCACAGTCCTGTGTGGCTGGGCTTCTGTCAGTTAACTAAGACAAGGAAGTAGGCTGTGTGTACTCTAAGGGATTCTCTTCCCAGCCTGCACTGATACCCGGAGGGCCTGTTTAAACACAGTTCTGGGCCCTCCCACAGAGTTTGACCCAGCAGGGCTCGACTTTGCAGTTATCTGCAATTCCCAGGGGTTGCTGATGGTCAGGGACCTTCCTCTGAGAATCCTCTGCTCCAGAGCAAATTCTTAGGGACTCACTGGTATATGCAAGACACCCTAGGACAGGAAACAGGCAAGTCGTCTCCCTTTCAGAATTCCTAGGAGTTGTGAAGGGTGCTCTGGCTCACACTCCTCCGGGGTCCTTGCCCTGGGTGGCTTCCACAGCAAGCCCTGAGCTGGAGAGGAATGGTGAGCTGGGAAGCTGGCCATGGCTCTCCGCACACTCTTCCTCTCTCTTGCTGGAAGGCTGGAATATGGTCGTGCCTGTGGGCTCAGTGAGTGGGTTACTCGGTGGGAAATTTGACAGATTAGTCACAGGGCGTGCAGCAGTGGTCATGCTCTGAGACTTTGGTTTGACTCCTGGCTCTACTGCACCCACTGTGGGGCCACAAGCAAGCTCCTCACCTTGATTTCCACAGTTCCCGCAGCCCTAAGATGTAGGCATCAGTTGTACCACTTTGAAGGGTTGTTTTGGGATAAAGTGGGGAGTAATGTACACATACAACACCTAGCATAGTCCTGCCACATCTTGATTTCTCAGTCAGCAGTAGCCATTCATTTCACAAGTGCTTAAAGAGCTGTGATCTCCACTGTACGGGGAGTGGAAGATAGACAGACACGGGGTGGGGGTGGGGGTATTTAATAGAACCTATTATTTCACAGGGAAATTGTTTTTCTTTCTGACCCAGTTTGGTTGAGTTCTCTTCCAGAACATGACACAGAGCAGGGAACCACTGATGGACAGTCTAATAGCAACAGAGAAAATTCTTTGCAAATTATAGACCCAGCTCCTGAAAGCCAGTGAGAGACCATGGACAGCGCCTTTTTGGAAATACCCCAGAGGATGCACAGTGAACCCCACCCTGGACTCCTCAGTGTACAAGCAGAGTTCTCTTATTTCTGAGATGAACAGAAAAGGCTCTAATGCTGGTATTCTGCAAGCAGTCTGCAATTTAAGTCAGAAGCTGGGTTTAATTTAAAAAAAAAAAGCAGCTAACGTCAGTAACAAAAAAAAACTGATTGCCTCTGAAAATTCATGGAGAGTGTCCACAGGCATAGAGAATAAAGTTAAAATTTAAAGTGTTGGGAAAAATTAGGCCAACAAAATAAAATCAACCAGGTGTACTGACAGCAGGGTCCAGGGACTCTGGGTGGGGTTGACGTACTGGCTTCTAACATTTCCTATCCTGTTCTCTCTCTGCCACTGTGGATTTTTTTCTGTTCTGCATGACCAGAACTTTCAATGCCTTCCGATCAGTATGAACTGCAGCTTCAAAACAACACCCCAGGCCCTGAGGGAGACCCAGGCCAGCCTGTGGCCGTCTTGGCCCAGGACACGTCCACGGTCACTGCGGTGCAGCTGGGACAGAGCAACCTGGTCCTCGGCCACAGGAATATCCTTTTCCCCGGCCAGCTCGTGCGCATACACACATCCTGTGTGCAGGAGATCTACTGTTTGGAACTCAAGTCATTTTTCTCCCTGAAAGCTTGGCTAGGCTAAAAATAGCCCTGTTTTCCCTCAAGGTCTGAAAATCAGAAAGAACCAAAATAGCAATGCGGCTGAGAGAATTGCTCACCTCTGGATGACTCAGTGGAGGGCTCCTGGGATGAGGGGGTGGCGGGTGCCAAGCCCCAGTCCTTCTCTGGCCCCAGCGGCCTCCTCCAAGTGCCCTGGCGTGTGGGTTGACCCTGTCCCAGACTTGTCCTCGTGCCCTGTGTGTTCTCCAGTGTCCCTTGCAGGGATCCCCCTCTCCTAGTATAGAAGGTGCGGTGCAGCCTCTGATTGTGTAAAATGGCTTTGCCTCACCTCGGCCTCAGGCAGGGGGGCTTTCATCCCCTCTTCTGTCCGTGGGATGTCTGGGTGGTAAGCAAGCCACCTGAGCCAAGCCGAGGCCTACCAACTGGTTTATTTGCCATTTTATGTTTTTTCCTTAATTAAGAATCCAGGTATCCGCATGCAGGGTGCTTCCAGGTTACCCAACAGCACTGTGTACGTGGTTGAGCCTGGATACCTGGGTGAGTGTGGGCATCCCGAGTCTTCCTGGATACTGCTTCTTTGAGATTACAGGAGTGAAAAAATAAAATGAGAGCAGTGGCTCCCCAGAAAATGCTTCCCTCTGTCCAGTGGGGAGGCTGGGACCATCAACACCCCCCACCCTTGCCAGGCTGCTTCCCAGTCCTTCCCCCATTGGCACATAGAAACTGAGGGTGGACTGAGGTCAGGTGGCGGCCAGCTTGGCCAGGAGTGAAAGGATAGGGCTGAGTGGGGAGGGCTGTGTCTCCTCCCGGTCTGTCTTCGTACCAGGACTATTCAGGCCTGACCATGGCTGTGGACTGTGGGAGGCTGGGCACCCAGAGGTCAGCTCAGTTACGAGGGGTCCCTGTGGTGACACGGCGGTTGGTAGATGTCTTTGCAGGAAGGAGAGTGAGACATTTGAGAGGAAAGGAGGAATCTGTAGCCATGAAGAATCCAGAGGGGCAGAGCCGGGGCCCAGGAGCTGCTGGGCATCCCCCTCTCACCTCTGGATGACTCACTGGAGGGCTCCTGGGATGAGGGTGGTGGGAACCAAGCCTCACTTCTCTGGCACCTGTGGCCTCCGAGCGCCCTGGCATGTGGGTTGGCCCTGTCTCAGACTTGTCCTCATGCCCCGTGTGCTCTCCAGTGTCCCTTGCAGGGATCCCCCTTTGCCAGCATAGGAAGTGTGGGTTCAGCCTCTGATTCTGGAAAATGGCTTTGCCTCACCTCGGCCTCCGGCAGGGGGGCTTTCATCCCCTCTTCTGTCCATGGGATGTCTGGGTGGTAAGCAAGCCACCTCAGCCAAGTGGAGAGACAACCATTTGAGAGATGTCCAGATACACATGTCACCCTGGGGCACCCGTGCCTCCTTTGTCTGAGCTGACTCACCAGGTCAGGTCACAGGAGTGGTTCAGGCAAGAGAGCATTTGACTGAAGTGCAGCAGACCCCACGGTCCTCATGTCACCACCACGCAAGATTGCTGTTTGGTGCAGCCCAAGCTGACAATGTGGTGACACCCTGTGTGTCTCAGGAGTTTCATTTACTCAGAAACATTTTCTTGGTATTTTTCATCTGCTGGGCACTGGAATTCTGGAGGAAGGCAGATGGGTCCTGTGCCTGCATTTGCCGGGCGAGATCACAAACGCACTGCCAGGACAGTGGAGAGGAGTGACACGTGTGTGCAGAGGAAAGGCTTCTGGGAGGTGGTTTTTGAGGCAGGCATTTTCTCAGAAGCCACTGTTTCATGGGTAGGTCAGCCTGGCCGAGGGAACAGCTCAGGCAAAGGTGCAGAGGGAGAAAGCATGTGGCATCACGGGGATCAGCGAGCAACCTCGTGTGTGGGAGAAGATAGCAAGGACAGCAGAGTGGAACGAGCAGTGCCAGGCCTCAGTGTAGACTGCTGTGCGTTCAGAGTGCAGACCTACTGTGCATTCAGAGTGTAGACTCACTGTGCATTCAGAGTGTAAACTCACTACAGGATTCAGCATGTAGATGTACTGTGGACAGTGTTGAATGAGCCCCTGAGCAGCCAGTGCAGGATATGTTTAGGTTTGGTCCTGGGGAATCTGAGGGCTCAGGCCTGATGGTGGGCAGTAGGTCTCCCGTCATTAGTAGCTGTTCCTTGTCCCTGGAGGCATGCAGGGTGAGTGCCTGTGGGCATCCAGGTGAGGGATTGTGGGCCTTCCAGGTGAGGGGCAATGGGTCTTCCAAGTGAAGGGTTGTGGGCCCTCCGGGTGAGGGGTTGTGGGTGTCCGGGTGAGGGGTTGTGGGTCCTCCGGGTGAGGGGTTGTGGGCCCTCTGGGTGAGGGGTTGTGGGTGTCCGGGTGAGGGGTTGTGGGTCCTCCGGGTGAGGGGTTGTGGGCCCTCTGGGTGAGGGGTTGTGGACATCCAGGTGAGGGGTTGTGGGTCCTCCAGGTGAGGGGTTATGGGCCCTCCAGGTAAGGGATTGTGGGTGTCCAGGTGAGGGGTTGTGGGCGTCCAGGTAAGCGGTTGTGAGGTCATGGTGCTGAGGATGCTTGGTCCCATCCTCTTCCTCAGCTGCATGCCCCTGTGGCCTGAGTGGTTGGGCTCTGCTGCTTGCCTGTTTTCTAGGGTTCACAGTCCACCCTGGTGGCAGGTGGGTGCTTGAGACTGGCCGCCTGTATGAAATCACCATTGAAGTGCTTGACAAGTCCGGCAACAAGGTCTTCCTGTCGGATGTGAGTCCCTGCGTCATCCCCTGCTGGGTGGCAAAATGGAAAGTGTCCCTCAGGGCAGCTGCCCTGTGAGCAACCCCTGAAGCATCGGGGGCTCCCATGAGTTTGGGTGCTGCTGGGTCCATGGGAGACACTACTGTGGAATTCTCAGGGCATCTCAAGACCCTGGAAGCCTGTGGGTCTGTACACAGCAGCCCTACTCCTGGCGGGGCTGGAGCAGGGAGCAGAGGCCACAGGCAGCAGGGTTCCGGGAGGTGGTGACGGGCCCTGCTGGCCAGCAGCCCCCCGCTCCCTTCCTCTTAGCCTGGGGACTTCATAGTGCTGAGAATCCGTCATTCCCTGCTCTGCAGAGCATTGGGAGCACTTCATGACCTCCCTGCAGGGCCAGGAATGCCTATTACCCTCCAGAGGCCCCACGTGACTGAGGCCAACCACCGGTAGCTTTCTGGCTCTGGAAGGGAGCTTCAGACCAAAGGGCAGATGGAGAGCATCTCGGCCCTTGTTGGTCCCCTTTGAGACTTTCCCAGGATCAATGGTACAACATCTCGGATTTTCCTGGTGGAGTCTGCGGTTTTAGAAGGAGGCAAGGTTTCCTCTTTGGATGCTTTGCAGAAGTGATTGTTTTCCTCATGTTTTGAAACAGAAATGTGGTTGATTACTTTTTGGGAAGCTAGTGCTAGGGGCTTTTCATGTATTTTTTTTTTGTATTTGGTCATTTCCTGGTTGGGACCTCCGAGTCTGAGAAAGCCAGCAGTTGGCTTCAGACTTCCTTGAGTGTCACACAGGCAACCACAACAAGGACCCAGGCCATTGGGTCATGCAGGGGGGAGTCAAAGGACAGTGCTCAGGTCCAGGACCTCATCCAGGCCGTCTGATGGCTTTGAAGGCCCCTGGGCCTGTCCTGGCCACACCTGTGGGTCCTGTTTCTCTTTCCGACACTGACTTTGCTGAGCTGTCACAGAAGCACTTTTCTCTGATCCTCCTGCCTCGCCTTCTAGAACATCCGCATTGAAACCATGCTTCCTCCTGAGTTCTTTGAGGTGCTGGCTTCTTCCCAGAATGGGTCGTACCATCACATCAGGGCAACAAAGAGGGGCCAGACGGCCATCGAGGCAGCTCTCACTTCCGTGGTGGACCAGGCAAGTTGGCGACCCCCGCATCTGTCCCCTAGGCACTTGTCTGGCAGAAGTGTCCACCCCAGCTGGGCGTGAGCTCTGTCCGGTATGCTGCCCGCATGGGTGCCTGTGGGGCGCTCCTGCTTGGGTCTCACAGAAGGTGTCTGGGCTCTCCCTGTCTTCTGTCCCCACACTGGATCCCCACTTCCTGTGCCCTTTGCCAGCCCCTGTAAAGGTGAGCCTGCACCTTCTGGGATTGGGCCTAGAAACTCTCACGGGAAACAGTGTTGGGCCGTGTGTACAGCTGTGTGCCAGCCAGGAGCCACGAGCATCCCTTGGGCCGTTTTGACTTCTCTGGTCCTTCAGTTTTTCTTATCCCTCCACCCCATGTTTAAAGGCAGTTCAGTTCTAGGTGGGGGCAGTTTTCTACTGATTGGAAAATTGATTTGAATGTTCTCATCTTCCTACCCTGCACAAAACCTCTCCTGGACCTGTAAGAGGCTACAGGAGGAAGTGGTCTGGGAACCAGACAACAATCCCTAGCGAGCCTGCCGCTCCAGCTCTGGGGCTTTGGATGAGTTGCGTTAGTGCCCCTTGCTTCAGTTTCCCCATCTGTAAAGCAGGGTGACCACTTCCATCCCATCGGGGCTGCTGAGAGGATGAAGGCAGGCGGCCTTTCCTTGCAGGCTGTTACAGAGCAGGGAAAGCGGTCTCCATGGAGACAGACAGGTTGCAGGGTCTCTGGCATCTCCTTCCCTCTCCCTCAGTCACAAAGTCTACCCTTGTGACCAGGTCCCCGGGAAGGGGTGGGGATCTGCCTGACTGGGAAAACTGCTGATGACCTGGTTGTCACAGTGACATGCAGTGTCCCTACTCCCTTGTAGGATGGAGGGGTCCACACATTACGGGTGCCTGTGTGGAACCAGCAGGAGGTGGAAATTCACATCCCCATCACCCTCTATCCCAGCATCCTGACGTTTCCGTGGCAACCAAAGACAGGCGCCTATCAGTACACAATAAAGGTAACTGTGAGACCCTTTGGGTGTTTCCATAGATTGGGCCTTTTGTCCATTCTGTTCCTTCCAGTGGTTGGAGAAGATTTAAAATCAGAGAGTCTTATGCTTTCTGTATTTTCTACGGTTTCCATTGCAGCAATGTATGGTAATCAGGAAAAAACTGGAAAAACATAAAAGAGATAACAGTAAAGAAAGCCTGGAATGCAGATTTAACTTCCATATGCATTTATTTTGGTAAAAAGTTACTGTTTTCTGGAAGCAGGGTGAATATCCTTAGAGAAAAATTTGGAATTTAATAGGGAAATGTCTCCAACTCAGCCACCTATCAGGTGTTCTTGGGCTTTGATAGTCATGTGCCTCCCTGGCGTTAGTCGTCAGGCACCGACTCCCACTGGGCTTGAGTCCCCATCAATCCCTGCTGTCTCCATGGCAGTGATGACAGGTGTCCTGTCTGTGCAGTGCGACCCGTGGCCCATTCACTCAGATGTGTCGTCATCCTGGCCCCTCTCAGGCTCTGGGTGGTGGCCTCTGAGTGGGGAAGCTGCTAGACTGTCATTTATTTAATGGCAGACATCTTGCACCTGGTCCTATGGCCCAGGGTCTTTTACTCCAGCACAAGCATTGGGAGGTGTCCCCAGGTTCTGGGCTACTGTCATAGGTATATGCGGATGTGTATATCAGCCACAAGGTCCCCAGAATATGAGGACCAGAAATGAGATGGGGTGGAGACAGCAAGGGGAGGAGGTAGCTCCCTAGCCAGATGTTGGCTAACGCCATGCTTTTCCATGCAGTGGGAGGACACTGACTATATGAGAGAGTTGTATGAAATCACCATTGAAGTGCTTGACAAGTCCGGCAACAAGGTCTTCCTGTCGGATGTGAGTCCCTGCGTCATCCCCTGCTGGGTGGCAAAGTGGAAAGTGTCCCTCAGGGCAGCTGCCCTGTGAGCAACCCCTGAAGCATCGGGGGCTCCCATGAGTTTGGGTGCTGCTGGGTCCATGGGAGACACTACTGTGGAATTCTCAGGGCATCTCAAGACCCTGGAAGCCTGTGGGTCTGTACACAGCAGCCCTACTCCTGGCGGGGCTGGAGCAGGGAGCAGAGGCCACAGGCAGCAGGGTTCCGGGAGGTGGTGACGGGCCCTGCTGGCCAGCAGCCCCCCGCTCCCTTCCTCTTAGCCTGGGGACTTCATAGTGCTGAGAATCCGTCATTCCCTGCTCTGCAGAGCATTGGGAGCACTTCATGACCTCCCTGCAGGGCCAGGAATGCCTATTACCCTCCAGAGGCCCCACGTGACTGAGGCCAACCACCGGTAGCTTTCTGGCTCTGGAAGGGAGCTTCAGACCAAAGGGCAGATGGAGAGCATCTCGGTCCTTGTTGGTCCCCTTTGAGACTTTCCCAGGATCAATGGTACAACATCTTGGATTTTCCTGGTGGAGTCTGCGGTTTTAGAAGGAGGCAAGGTTTCCTCTTTGGATGCTTTGCAGAAGTGATTGTTTTCCTCATGTTTTGAAACAGAAATGTGGTTGATTACTTTTTGGGAAGCTAGTGCTAGGGGCTTTTCATGTATTTTTTTTTTGTATTTGGTCATTTCCTGGTTGGGACCTCCGAGTCTGAGAAAGCCAGCAGTTGGCTTCAGACTTCCTTGAGTGTCACACAGGCAACCACAACAAGGACCCAGGCCATTGGGTCATGCAGGGGGGGAGTCAAAGGACAGTGCTCAGGTCCAGGACCTCATCCAGGCCGTCTGATGGCTTTGAAGGCCCCTGGGCCTGTCCTGGCCACACCTGTTGGTCCTGTTTCTCTTTCCGACACTGACTTTGCTGAGCTGTCACAGAAGCACTTTTCTCTGATCCTCCTGCCTCGCCTTCTAGAACATCCGCATTGAAACCATGCTTCCTCCTGAGTTCTTTGAGGTGCTGGCTTCTTCCCAGAATGGGTCGTACCATCACATCAGGGCAACAAAGAGGGGCCAGACGGCCATCGAGGCAGCTCTCACTTCCGTGGTGGACCAGGCAAGTTGGCGACCCCCGCATCTGTCCCCTAGGCACTTGTCTGGCAGAAGTGTCCACCCCAGCTGGGCGTGAGCTCTGTCCGGTATGCTGCCCGCATGGGTGCCTGTGGGGCGCTCCTGCTCGGGTCTCACAGAAGGTGTCTGGGCTCTCCCTGTCTTCTGTCCCCACACTGGATCCCCACTTCCTGTGCCCTTTGCCAGCCCCTGTAAAGGTGAGCCTGCACCTTCTGGGATTGGGCCTAGAAACTCTCACGGGAAACAGTGTTGGGCCGTGTGTACAGCTGTGTGCCAGCCAGGAGCCACGAGCATCCCTTGGGCCGTTTTGACTTCTCTGGTCCTTCAGTTTTTCTTATCCCTCCACCCCATGTTTAAAGGCAGTTCAGTTCTAGGTGGGGGCAGTTTTCTACTGATTGGAAAATTGATTTGAATGTTCTCATCTTCCTACCCTGCACAAAACCTCTCCTGGACCTGTAAGAGGCTACAGGAGGAAGTGGTCTGGGAACCAGACAACAATCCCTAGCGAGCCTGCCGCTCCAGCTCTGGGGCTTTGGATGAGTTGCGTTAGTGCCCCTTGCTTCAGTTTCCCCATCTGTAAAGCAGGGTGACCACTTCCATCCCATCGGGGCTGCTGAGAGGATGAAGGCAGGCGGCCTTTCCTTGCAGGCTGTTACAGAGCAGGGAAAGCGGTCTCCATGGAGACCGACAGGTTGCAGGGTCTCTGGCATCTCCTTCCCTCTCCCTCAGTCACAAAGTCTACCCTTGTGACCAGGTCCCCGGGAAGGGGTGGGGATCTGCCTGACTGGGAAAACTGCTGATGACCTGGTTGTCACAGTGACATGCAGTGTCCCTACTCCCTTGTAGGATGGAGGGGTCCACACATTACGGGTGCCTGTGTGGAACCAGCAGGAGGTGGAAATTCACATCCCCATCACCCTCTATCCCAGCATCCTGACGTTTCCGTGGCAACCAAAGACAGGCGCCTATCAGTACACAATAAAGGTAACTGTGAGACCCTTTGGGTGTTTCCATAGATTGGGCCTTTTGTCCATTCTGTTCCTTCCAGTGGTTGGAGAAGATTTAAAATCAGAGAGTCTTATGCTTTCTGTATTTTCTACGGTTTCCATTGCAGCAATGTATGGTAATCAGGAAAAAACTGGAAAAACATAAAAGAGATAACAGTAAAGAAAGCCTGGAATGCAGATTTAACTTCCATATGCATTTATTTTGGTAAAAAGTTACTGTTTTCTGGAAGCAGGGTGAATATCCTTAGAGAAAAATTTGGAATTTAATAGGGAAATGTCTCCAACTCAGCCACCTATCAGGTGTTCTTGGGCTTTGATAGTCATGTGCCTCCCTGGCGTTAGTCGTCAGGCACCGACTCCCACTGGGCTTGAGTCCCCATCAATCCCTGCTGTCTCCATGGCAGTGATGACAGGTGTCCTGTCTGTGCAGTGCGACCCGTGGCCCATTCACTCAGATGTGTCGTCATCCTGGCCCCTCTCAGGCTCTGGGTGGTGGCCTCTGAGTGGGGAAGCTGCTAGACTGTCATTTATTTAATGGCAGACATCTTGCACCTGGTCCTATGGCCCAGGGTCTTTTACTCCAGCACAAGCATTGGGAGGTGTCCCCAGGTTCTGGGCTACTGTCATAGGTATATGCGGATGTGTATATCAGCCACAAGGTCCCCAGAATATGAGGACCAGAAATGAGATGGGGTGGAGACAGCAAGGGGAGGAGGTAGCTCCCTAGCCAGATGTTGGCTAACGCCATGCTTTTCCATGCAGTGGGAGGACACTGACTATATGAGAGAGGGTGAGTGAGTGAGTGTGTGTGTGTAAGAGACAGAGACACACAGGCAGGGCAGGTGGGTTGGTCTGATGATGGTTTTCTTCTTTAGGCCCATGGCGGGAGTGGGAACTTCAGCTGGTCTTCATCAAGCCAAGTGGTTGCCATGGTCACAGTCAAGGGTGTGATGACCACGGGCAGTGACACTGGACTCAGCGTGATCCAGGCACATGATGTGCAGAACCCACTACATTTTGGTGAGATGAAGGTAAGCCCTCAGGGGCTAGGTGCTCATGATGGTGGTCTCTAGCCATCCCCTCTTAACCAACCCACAGGTTTAAATTAATTCATAAGCACCCTGTAGCCTTTGGTCTTGTAGTTGGTTTCAGCAGTGGGCAAGGGGGTAGGGGACTGGGCCCCAGCTCTGCCCTCGAGAGCTCATAGCCATATTGGAGAAATGGTCATGACATCCTACCCCAGGCAGGGGTTGGGACCAGAAGCACCAGGGTCAGCATAGCTGGGGTTTCTGGAAGGGAGACCAGAGAACAGAGAAGACACAGGTAAAGGAGTCATTCTGGAAAATTCCCCAGGCTTGAAAGCTATGAATCTCCAAATTAGAAGGGCCACAGATGTTGGGTGGTAAGTTCATAGTGAAAGGGAAGCCCCTAGACTACAAGACACCTGGTGCTGACTCCCTTTCTCTGAGTCCTGTTCAGATACAACCAGTAGTTCCTGCATGGGGGGGCCCTACACCTGGCTTTTGACCCCTAATGATATGGGAACAACTCACTTAGCAAAGGCGGCAGGTGGGAGTGGTCACCTGCAGCTGAGCCTCTCCAGCCCCATGTCACCTGGCCACCTGACCCTGACTTCAGCCCCTTCTATTACTTCATTTAGGACAGATATGAAAGCTCTGTACATAGTGTGTCCAGTCTCTATCTTCTCTTACATTATTTGGAACATTGATGGATAGGATATTCTAGTCTTTTTATCATGATCCACATAGGCTCGCGCACGTGTGTGCACGCACACACACCCTTATCTAAAGATCGATCTAAGTCTCACATAAAGAGCATTGTATCCAAGACCCTTTAGCCAGAGCATAATTATCAAATATTTGGATAAACTGTGACTGCCTTGCCCTGCTCCTGCCAAGCTTCTTCATCTGAGTAAACGCCTCCTTTCATCTGGTTGCTCAGCCCAAAGCCAGGTGACCCAGCCCATGCCCCATCTGCAGGTATACGTGACCGAGCCCAGCGGCATGGAGTTCACCCCGTGCCAGGTGGAGGCACGTGTGGGCCAGACCCTGGAGCTGCCCTTGAGGATCAATGGCCTCATGCCTGGTAGGGCCGGTGAGGTGGTCACCCTGAGCGACTGCTCCCATTTCGATTTGGTGGTTGAAGTGGAGAACCAGGGCGTGTTCCAGCCCCTCCCAGGTAAGCTGCACTGGTGTACAGGCACTGCCTGGCCTGTCAACATGGGCTGCCCCACATTCCTACACGGAGGGCGTGAGGTAGGGGCAGGTGGTAGTCACAGTATAAGGAGTGGCATCAGCAATGGTCTAGTCTGCGTCTTGCCCACCATGTGACCCACCTCGTCATGCAGCTGTCTGAGCTTTGGTTTCCACAGTCTCAAAAATGAGTGTCATCTTCAAATGCCTCGGGTGCCTAAATGGTTTTCTTGGCTTCACTGGAGATGGATGGTAATTATAGATTTGCTTTGTTTATGTCACTGTATTCCTATTATGTTAATATGTGAGCGCAAGTTAGTTAGTAGTTTAAAACCTATACATGCTTAAGGTACTCTACAAGAAATGTCAAAGAAATAATCAATCCTCCCATGTTTTCTTCCATATG